TTTTTTTCTTTCATACCAGAGCATATATCACAACTCTGATTATGTAGAGAAGAAAATGTGGGAACTTTCAATAGGGTTAATATTCGCACATACATTCACATTTCAAATTCAAAGAAGAAAAGCACTGTGCTGGGAAATTAAAATAGCATCCAGTCCATGACAATATTTTACCTAAATAATATATCTCATTTAATATGCATAGAAATCTTTTTAGAACACTCAATTTAAATCGCTGCAATGTATCACTTCCGCTCTCTTTGATGTCAATCAGCTGGGAGTCTAAGGACGCTAGGAATTGGGCAGAAGGTTCCTAAAGCACTTTGAGCTCTCATATGAAAGGTGCTGTTTAAGTACAAAGTATCATAATAATCTTAATATACTTAACAACTCCACTCACTTGCATGGAAATACCTGACTCTACCTCACCTGTTTGGTATTTTGAGGCACAATCCTTAAGTAAAATTTCTCTAATAGGTTATATATAACATTATTTCATAAAAGTCATTCAGAAAAAAAATCAGAAGAGGAAGGTTTCATAAACATTATATATCGGTGATCACAGAAAATGTCTCCACTAGGAAGAAAACTACAAGGCTAACAAAAGATACTTGTTCCTAAAGAGACTGAAAGGATTACTTTCCCCAAGAGTAGAGCATCCTAGATGCTTCCCTTCCTTAATATTGAATAAAGCCCCTCGTAATGCTCCTGGACTGGAGGTACAGCAGATGTTACATGTTTTCTCCTTCATTTATATTTTCCAGTGGTAAAGAAAATTGAGATATACAGGCAGCTGGCTGTAGGGGAGAATTATTTTCTACTTGAAAACCATTCTCAGTTTCAGTAAAAAAGAAAATGTGGATTACAGATAAATGGTATTCCTCTGCTCCAAAAATTCATTTAAAGATTACCGACTATAGTATTTCTCTTTTTTGATTTTTTATCTTACTTTTACTTACATAAGTTGTATCAAAAATATAGCATCATTTTCAAAAATGAAAGCATTACTAATAACGCTAATACCTTTTCACCGTATCTCCATCTGGGGGTCCCTTCAATCCCTCCTCATTCTCCTCCAAGCCTACCCAGCTAGGGCAATTGTTATTCATTTTTCTGCAATGCATTTGATTTAAATCTTCCTTTAAGATAAAAAAAAAAATTGTCCTATGAAGATGAGAAAACAATATCATTTTATTACAATAAGCACTTTTATACGTTTTCTCATTAAATTATCTGGGGGCTTCCAAATTGTCCATCGTGTAATTTTTAACATTTTCAGTGATTCTGAACTCATCCGACTCTTCTCAGAAGCGGGAGCGTATCGGTGAGGAGACCTCACAACACGACTCTGTTTACACAGGAAGAAGAGAGGTTCCCTTACAGACATCACCCTAGGGCCTCCCATCAGGGATCTGGGTCCCTTGGTCCCTCTTCAGGCCCCACCCTTGTCCTTTGTTTCTGCAGATCCCAGGGTTAGACCCAACTGACTACTCTCCCACCGCTGCTCAACATCACAATCCTCATGCATGCTCGACTATAACCCTGGGTGATTCATCAGCCCACTGTGGGCCTGGGTACGGACACAGTATCCAAAGATAACCAGAATCCATGAAATAAAAAGTGAGGACTAGTCCAGGGTGTCAGGAGATATAGGAGCTACCCCTTTAAGAGTGCTTCCAAGGCATCTTTTCTGGCTCTGCCCTCCTACCCTGCACGTCCACACATGACCTCCAGTTCGCTAGCGCCCATCCACCACCAGTCCAGAAGCATTGCTACTAGGAACACAGGAGCCCAAAATGAAAAGGCTGTTTTTTCAAGTTGTGTAGGAAGAAAAGTCAAAGAGAGTCAGGTATTAAGAAATAGAAGCAAATTCTGAGACAAGAGTTGACACAAATTAGTGTCCCGCTCAGGCAGGATGAAAGCAGAAAGTGGACAGGGGAATTGGCAGTCTGAGATGTAGAGCACCCTTGAAAAAATGATCCAATGCCACAGAGATGGATCATCACGTACCTTAGCAGGGTGCTAGTCAACAGGCATTCATGTAATTAAGCTTTAATATTTGGATTGCACATTCACTATACAATCTTCTCATTATAAACCGGATACCCATGTATGTATGTTTGCTTACAAGAAAAACTGAGCTGTGTGATTCAAAGAATTCTTATTGAAAATGCACGTAGGTTTATATGTGTGTATATGTGTATATATGTGTATATCAATGCATACATGTCTATATGGATATTCAGACGTTTTAGCTTGGTTGATGTGATCCGTTCCTAAAAGTGGGTACATTCTCAGTATGCTGACTTCAAGTTTCTGAGACTATCAGTGAAGATCCAGATTTCATATTGGAGTAAGCTCACAAACATTATAAAGACCACCTAGCCTTCCCTTTGCTATCTCTGCTTTGACATATTTTATGGCTTCCAACGCAAATAACTACAACCCCCACATGGAGGCCTAGACCCATTTAAACAAACTAACAGGGAAAAGTGACATCTTACAGGTATTCGTTTTGCACATCCACCCCCAAACTAGAGTGAGAGCAGTTGTAATTTAAAATCTCTGGGGCACTTGTTCTCTCAGTAAACTATAGCAAGCCTCCTTTGTTCTTAAAGAACACATGATCTAATTAATAAAAAATAATAACCAAGAGTTGAGAGCTCATATGAAGTGCAAAATCCATAGATAGGCATTGGTTGGCAAGCAAGCAATCTTCAAATACCCCAGTGTGGTGGTCAGTATCATCCCTATTTTATAAATTAAAATATTGAGGCACAGAACATTAAGGATCATGTCCACAGTTTACAGCAAGCAAGAAATAAGAAAGCCAGCACTGAGGCCAGATCAGTTCCAAAACCAGTGTTCCTCCCAGCCACGGTGGGTCCAGCTCTCGATGTGTCCTGGTGGGCAGGGCATTCCCCTCCAATGTGGGGTCCACTTGGATGCCCTGGTGATTGCAGCAATGCTTTATAATTTCAATCATGAAGTTGACTTCAGGAACTCTACCTTTTCAATTTCCCCAAATCACCACTTGAAGCACACTACCAAATCAAAATTAAGCCCAAATTAAACTGAAGCCTGCCTGACTCCCTATTCCCTAAATGCTGTCTAAATTATTACTAATCCATGCCCCCTTCCTCTTTCATTAACTAATTGGCTTCCTCAATACTGCCTCTTTATGAAATGAGTTGTAGATGATTGTGCCACTCAGGCAATGGCTTTGGGCCACGGATCGTCAATGTCTGCAGTCATGGAAGTTTTACAAGTCTCCCTTTTATGGGCGTCTTGTTCCTTCATATGCCAAGCCTATGCCTCCCTGTGCACTTACTTTACTCTAGTTTATCTAAGTGGAAACAGAAGCCTCGCTCCATCCGTAACTCATCCTCAATTTCATGGAATCATCTCGTCACGTTTTCTTCTGATTCAGTAGTTCCTGGCAGTAAAATCTCCTTTTATATACAGATAAAGTAAAGTGGCTCTAAAGAAACAAGGAACAGGGAACAGAGGGGCTTTTTAAAACCCTGGGAGAGCACACTGAGCTCCCACATTTATGTTCTCTCCGGTAGAGCTAGAAACGTGGACAGCATTGCTTATGTTGATAAAGTTGACTTTACAACTTTATACAACCTCAATTTTAAGTCCTAGGCATTATCCCCATAATCTCCAATCTTAGGATGAAGATATAACTTATAAAAGCCTAGAACTATCCTTAGGTCCTGGCTGCACTCGAAATTATCAGTCAAGGAAAAAAAAACATTTCTATGTATAACTCTAGCACTAATAAAGTAGTCTCAATGTTTGCAAGGTTTCAGAACACATCAAGTTAGTTTGATCGCCAATATGAGATACCCAGGTTTTCTGTGAACAATCCAATATTAACAAAGAGTAATTAAAACCACAGTATCTTAGTGATACACTACGAAAAGATTCCTAATGTTTAAGGTTAATACGTATGATACCGCTAATATGCAACTTATTTAACAGAAACCATGATATCATAATGAAAAGTCCTCATTGATCCTATATTAATTATTTTTAAAATTTTAGTGTTTGAACTGAGCAGCTGAGCCCTGCTTTTATGTTACCTCTGTAACATAGAATAGAAACTTCAACAAATTTTACATATATTGCAATTTCATTTTTGCCTGTTATATACCTTAGTAAAGTAATATATACAAACTGGAAAAATATGTAATTACATATAAAAACGTGCTTTAGGTAAGTTGAGTCATCTTTCCATTAAAAAAAATGACTTCACTTCATCAAATCTCAAATCGCTTCAGCCTGATGTTGCAATTTAAAAATGTGAAAACCAATTTTTATTATAACAAATGACAACTCATCATCAAGCGAGCCAGTCAACATCATAGACCCTTTTTTAATATTAGCAGGTTAAAAGGAAAATTGACATAGAATGCATAATTGTATAATGTCTGCAGACCTTGCAAATGAATATTTGGCTGCTTTGGGTCTCAGTTTTGCTTTCATAAGAACTCTTAGGAATTTGCATTTCTAAAAAGGGATTACACTGCTTTACACTAAGATCCATTTGCTTAAAAATTATAATTTTCAGAACAAAAGAATTTTTTATTCAGGTTCTCCAAAGATCACTTTGATAGATACATTTTACAGTACTACAATTGCTTTTTCAAGTTTATAGGGATTCAATGTGTACTGTAATTAGTTTCTTTATTACAGGCCGCCTCTCGAATTACACATTTCAGCATAATGGGAGTCCATTTAATTAACTGTGCTCCCGATGATCATGCAGACCCCTGAGTCACTACACTTCACCTCTAGTGGAGGCTAAATTTTAAGGGAAATTTATTTTGCTTTCAGAATTTATGAAATGAAAAGAGAAAGCACTGTAGGTGTGATTTTAAGGAGAGCTAGAAAATTCTTCGAAAAAATATGAAGTTGTCCTACAAAAGTTCTTGTACTACGAAAACAGACAACTGAGGAAGAAAAAAACATAGGAAAAAAACCAAACCCTCACTTACCAGGTGTGAAATTGTATCGAGCTGAAAATCCCATAGATTCCAGCTCTCCATCAGCAAAAAATTTAATCCATAGAAATCTTCCACTGGATTTTATTACAGGTGGATTTTGTTGTCCACAAAAACGTCCAATTATTGGAGAAAATCCAAAAGGTCCATCTCGAACTTCAATATGATCAAATTTGCACTCCCAAGACGGTTCAATAGAGTACTTTTCATCAAAGTAAAGTTCAATGCACTGTCTTGGGGCAGCTGAAAAAAAAGGAAAGATTATGTCTAGAAGGCCATTTTTAAATCTTTAGGTAGATTTTTGTAATTCTACTTCAGATTTTATCTGTACATCTTCTATCAAACTTTGAACATGACATGTGTGGAAAAGCAAAGCAAGTCCATAAGCATTCTAAGGGATAACATTTCCATAAGAATGTCTCAGGGATGCTCCTTAAAACTGGTGCTGTTGCACAAAAGATTATTCGGATATAAAATGACCGTTTCGATGTCTAACACAGGCCTAATAAATCACAGTATTTTTGTGAAAGACCACTAACATTAGGTTTAGAAATTAGAAAGACAGCTTTCTGTCACTTTTCCCATATCTTAAGTATCCAGTTTTAAGGTCAAAGCCGCTTAAGAGTTGCTCAGCATAGAGTTATCCAAACATTCAAACAGTCCCAGTCAGATGTCTTGATTAGACCCAGGTGCATATACAAGGGCATTGAGAAGAATTTTTCTAGTACACAAACCTCACCACATCACCCTCAGGTTTAAACTTAGCAACTTTCTATCAGCTATAGGAAAATGATCAATGCACTTGACATTGCAGGACCCTTAAGGGTATCCTACAACTCACACTTCCAGGGGCTTCCCAGTCCACGCACAGCCCAAGCTCAGGCCACTGCAGACACACTGTGTTTTCTAAGGTAGCATGCTTTTTCGGGCTTTCATGTATTTTAGCACTTTCTGGAGTATCTACCTCCAATTTGCTGACTCTTGTTTATGCAGGAAAACCTTGCTTACAAGAACCACCCCTCTAAATCTACTCACTAAGGACAAAATCTATTCACCTTTCAGCACTCAGCAAGCACAGTACTTGTCATTGAGGATTTCTCAAAAAAAAAAAAAAAATCTCTGTTGGGTGAATAGTAAATGAGCTTATCTTCATAAATGTTTTTTAGCGCTCTCTAAAACATCAGGAAGATCCTCAGAGGGCTAGCAGCTCTATAGACCTCCACATGGATGCATTTGCTAGCGCCCTGCCATTTTTCCCTTGTCATGTCCAAAACAGCTCAAAATCCTGGCACTCCAGACTGGTATTCAGCCAGGATACCCCAGAATAGCCATAACAGTTGTTGAAATATCCGTACACATTTATCCTAGTTAGTAAACAGCTGTTGCCTTGAGTCCTTTGAGTGCCTCCCTGCCATGTGGCCCTCTTCAGGGACCAGCACCCTCCAGAAACTTATAAGGTAAGACCTGGCACAGCATGGCCTGCTCCCCATGTGGTCCGTATTCATTCTGAATGACTGTTGTCCACACCACCCTAGTTCTTAAATATGTATTGAATATCACCCTTGATGGCTTTAAAATGAAAGCTTTGCTTGCGTGGATGTCAAAAATTTACAGAAAATTGAGATACGGGATGACTTGGAAATTCGAGACCTACAGAATAATCGAAGCTCATTTGGTTAAAGGTCAATGCATGTGACAAGACAATTTTAGAGATTACTTTTAATCTCCAAAATATTTATGACTCTTTGGACACTGAAAAGAGACATTTATTACTCTTCCAAGAAAAACCAGGGATGGTTTTATCTACCACTACTGTATATTCTGAAAGGTCAACAATTGTAGTATTACCATATTGATAGATTTGATGAAGTTTCAATGATTTTTTAAAAAATCTGCAAATTGGAAAGTATCCTAAGAAATTACTTGGAAAACCTTTTCCCCTCAAGATTATTAGTCCAATAACAAAAAGGGACCTATTTATGTAGTAGCATTAAGTATATCATTTGTATGTATTAATATCTTATAGACTGTGCCTGCTTGTTTATCTGCTCATTGGCAAGCCAGTATGATAAGTTTTAGAAGGAAATAAACTATTTGAGAATGTAGGATATTTCTTTTAGATGTAAATAATGTATGGCTAAGGAACAGTAAAGCAATGAGAACAACCTTGTGCTAATTTATTTAAAACTCTATGAAGCAACATATATCCATCTATTTTCCCCTATTAGGAAATGCATGGCCATCGAACATGAATTCATTTATGCATATCTTCATTTTCACTGTTGCTTAAGTTCTGTCCAACATGGATGAACAAGCCTCTCAATGTTCCTTCATGACACATACTATCACCATGGCCTTGGGTAGGCCACACTTAGGTGGACAGCTCATCTTCCTTTGGTCCAGCATGTTGAAGTTAACTACACACACTCATATATGAAATTCCACTACTGAATTTTCAAAGGCAGTAAAATAAGGTTTTAAAAATAAGCATGTCATATAGTTGTTGTAATTAAAAACAAGTGATTATAGTGCATGGAAGTCATTGGAAGCTCTCTAAGTTCAGCTCCTTACACTTAGGTTTTCCTCCCCTTCAAATCTCCCAATTCACAGCTGCCTTTCACTTCCACGTTTTCTCTAAGTCATCTGGGAGCTAAATCTGAGGTTCCTTTTTGAGAGGTCTTCACCCCTCCTAACACATCTTTGGACACACTGAAAACTCCGAGCACTTTCACCTGAATAGTGCACATAGTTACAGAACATTGCTCCCTCTTTGAGAGAGTTTTAGGACAATCTGAAACCCACGAAAGGGATCTTCCTTTCTGTGACTGGGACTCCACCCCAATTCATAAGAACCTATCTTACTTCAAGAAACTTGACCAATGATTTAGACCTTTCTTGTATTTTACATTTACCTTTTTCTACAGAACAGGCTACTCTTTTCAGAATTAAACATGACAATTTGCCCCCCCTGAAAGCAGAAAAGACAAAAAGAAAAAGAAAGAACTGCCTTCCTACCTTGGGTCCATCAACATCTTCCCTCCCCCAATGCCTCCATCAGCTGTGAGCCAGCTCCCACTCCACTAGGGCAATGAGTGCATACGTCCTAAAGCTACTATCAGCTTCTCAATGGCCTCGTGGAATAGATGTGTTTCCTTTTACTTCACTTTTCTTTGCTGTAAGAGTTGGCATTTTCCCTACTCCCTTCGTGCTGAAATGTCACCTGCATTACGTGCTGGGGCATCTTTTACCTGATCTCCAGTCCATCTCGCTGGCTCGTCCTTCACAGTCCCTGTTACCCTTCTCCTTACTCTCCCATCCCTTACCTGTTGTTTTTCAGAAACGCATTCTATGTCTTCTTCCCGCTCTTTCTAGACCTGTGTCCTGGGTGCCACTGGCATCCCAAAGGAGAGCTATTACAATATAATGATGCCTGCAGCTGCATCAAAGACCAATTAAACCAGACTTCCTGGGACAGACCCAGGCATCTGTGTTTTTTGAAAGATTTATAAAATAGTGCTCCAAATATTCTCTCTGGATAATTTTATTCATACCAGGAGCCTCAACAACAATCCATATTTATGACCTATAAATATCTATTTTCAGCCCAGAGCTCTCCAGTGAGCTAAAGACTCATGTATCCAATTTCTGTATGCAACATCTCCATAAACACCAAAATGGAATTATTTTTCCTTCAAACCCTCTTTCTCCACCCATATTCTTTACCTGGCATGGCAATTCCATCTCTACGTCACCAAGCCAAAAACTGGAATCCTCTTGGGATTTCCCATCTCTCCTGCCTACATCCAGGCACTCATGACTCAGTTTCCTAAAGACCTCTCATCTCTTCCTTTGACGCCTCAGCCAATGTCACTAGTGTAGTTCAGGCTTTTACTATGGCTTACATGGTCCTTCACAATAGTTTCTGCTTACTTCTTTTCTTTCTGTCACTTCACGAAAATATCAGCTTATTATTTCTCCACTTAAATTATTTCAGTGGCACCCCATTGTCTAGCCTATAAAGTTCAAACTTTCACGGCTGGAGTAGATGGAATACCAAATTCTCCTTTATCTGAGACTGCTGACCTCTTGAGCCTCCTTACTTCTTCCTCTCCTCACACTATGCAGAAGCTACACACGGGTCCCAAACTTCCGCACAGGCCATTCTGAATAGAGAATTACCTCCCTGAAGTTCTTCAAAACTGAGTGAGAGCATCTCCTCCTCCTGATTGGCTCCTCTCCTTCTCTCTGCTCCAAATACTGCTGATTTGGGGGTGCCTTTAGATTGTTTACTGAACGGGGCATGGTCCCCAGACCACATTATAAATTCCACACGCAAGTACCATGGTTGTTTTTTAAAGACTCTCTAAACGGTAACTAGAAGAAAGGCTGTTTCTCAGTAGTTGTTCAATAAATATTGGTTAAATAAATGTATGGATGAAAACAATGGCTAGCATGAAGTATTTCAAAAAGAGTGCAGAAGTATGATTAATAGTAACAGGAGGTTCTATTGATTTCTCAACTAATCAGTTTTGCCCTTGACATAACTAGGAATGAATGTAAATATGTGCATGATATTAAAATAAAATGCTAGCAATGTTTTTTAATTCTAAATAACAATAAACACGAAAGTGTAATTAATATGCAAAGATCTGCTTCTGAAATAATCCTTTAAAGGAGAGAACTAATTGATTTTATTCTTTTTAATAATTCAAAGTTAAAATACTGTTGCTTTAAAGCACAAATTACGTGAGTTTAAGCAAGACATTTAACCTCCCTCTGTCTGTTTCCTTGTCTATAAAATAAGGGCAACAAAAAATATCTACTTCCTATCATTAAATATTTTAATATATGTTAAGATTTTGAACGTTTTATGTATACACAAACACACACACATATACATATAATAGATAGGTAATATTAACTTGGTGAAGAGAACAAATAAGTTTAACCCAGAATTTCCGTATTTCAATTTCCTTTTCTATCAATCACATGAGGAATAAGACTGCAGAACTCAGATTTCTAGTTTTATCCTTTTATTATCAGAGCTTATTCTTTTTTCCTCCTTCTTGTAGTGCAGTGTATCTTTGCTAAAAGTTCACCCTCAGGCACAAAAAGGAAAGAGCTAATATCCTTAGCTTAAAAGTTACAAAAATAAAAAAAGAATCATTTCTAAATAGGAATTCTTGAAAGCAGTTAAACAGAAAGCCTTTTTCTTTCAAAGATCTACCAAAGGAACATGCCCTTCATTTAGAGATAAATACTGAGCATACACTGTCTTTTTCATTAAGATGGCTCAATCCCTCTGTATCTGTGTGGGTGGGGGGATGGAGAAGGGTTGCAGGTTTGGGGCTTTTTAGGTATTAGCATCTATAATATTAAAATCTTCCTCACTAGGTGAAATGATCATTCAGTCCAGAAAGCTGTATGTAATCGAGTGCTGTCTACAAGGGTGATGGAAATTGGAAATGTTCAAAGGGAAATGAATCTCTTTTTCAGCACTATTTTTTTCTTTTGAGTTAGGAAAGAAAATGATGAAAAGAAGCATCATAATTTGGAATCCTGACTTTGGCATTAAAGTATGATAATGTCACTTGTTAGTGCAAATTAAGGCAACTATCATTCAGATTGTTTGGAAACATGATTACAGATTTATTTTTAACATTAACATGCATTTGTGTACTTTATATTATTAAAGAAAAATTAAAAAAGTATAGGTTCTTCTACTAACTGTTAACCAATAAAATACTAGTTTCTAAAATTGTTATACATTAGGTAATATTATGCCAACTATGCATCCATTCCATTAATTTAGAATTCTAAATCAATGAAGTCAACTGCAAAATAAACTGTTACCAATTTGCTTTTATTTGCCTGAATTTACTTATTCATAACCCATTGCTAATAATTTCAATAATTAGCTTGATTCCAAATTTTAGTTATTTGATTCATTAAGAGATATTTCTGTGCATGGTCTCCAAAACCAATTTTTGTAATGTCCATACGCACACTGTCCATCCAAAGCATAGCGATGGCCAGGTTTGGCTTGGAGCTTTCTCCAGCCAGGGCTCTCTCCCCCTTACCTTCTATGATGTAGATGCACTCTCGGTCAGGAGGGTACTTGCTGGGGTAGTTGGGAGAGGTAAAGATACCTCCCTCTGCATGTTTTGTCCAAGTTCCACACTGCACTGACTTCTGAGTTTCCGAGGTGGTTTGCTTTTCTGAAAAAAATAAAAACAAGAGCCATCATCCAATTTTCTAAAAGACTAAAAATAGAGAGGACATTCTTATAATATCCATTAGTAAATTAATTTCGAAATGTTGTGTTAGTCAAAATCAATCAATTATACACACTATAAAATTTTCAGATATTCTGGAATATTAAGAATATGGGGAAAATAGGAAAATGTAAATAATTAGAGGTCTTCCACTGCATTTTCCCAAAGAAACACACCTGTTCCTTTCTTGGTTGCCCCAGACAAATGGAAGATGATTAAACTTGCTACAACTGAAACAGAAAAGAAAAATTAGAAAGAGATCATATTAATATACACTGAAATGATCACATTCTGTAATGATATAAAGATAAGATAGTATCAAAGCAGATTAATTGTATTATTGTTAACCGTTCCAAGTTAACTCAGAACGTGCCAAAACTCGTTAAAAATGTACAAATCAGGAAAATTTAGGAATCCCTTCAGGAAGTAATGCAAGTTAAGGTTGGATGAGACCCCAGAACTGCAAATGCGTACCTCAAAACTTCAGAGGCAATACTGTAATCTACTCCTGTCACATTATAGTAGGATTTCAGGACCTGTATTGTTTCTAACCGCCCTTAGGGAAAGGCTTTGCTAGCATCTCTGAAGGAAGAGTGAGCCAGGCGAAAAGCTGAAAAGGCAAACAATGAGGAAGGACTCCGTGACTGACCCTAAGGCACTGCCCGCGTAGTTGTAGTTGAGAAAACAAATACTTAGGCAAATCTTACGGCAGTTGTGGGAAGTGAACAGGAGAAAAACAGATAAACGGGGATTGGAGGCATTAAGCAGCACTACAAAAGCGTTTCTTATAAAAAGGTACTCTATTACCAAGTAACCCCTGTCCTCAGCACTTCCTAAGCTGTGCAATTGATTTCTTCTTAACCTTAACTTTGACTTAATATTTAGTGTTATCCAGAAATAGATTCTTACTTTGAGAAAGGCGATTTCTGTGAGCATTTCCTTGAGCCAATTTTTCAGTATCAAAAAAAGACCTTGATCTCTAACAAGAGTAAATCTGCAAAGACCATTGCAACCGGAACTTCTGCTTTACTTTCGTATCTTGATTTTTTTTTTTTTATAAAACCTGAAACTAGAAGAGTAATAAAACAATCTAGTCTTCATAAGTACTGGTTTTTCCACTTCTAATTAATCTGTTATTTATTTTGTTGCCCAATTCCCTAAAATCCCTAACTTCCATTAGATGTATAATTATATTTCCCCTTAAAATTAATTTGGAAAAGGGAAGGTATAATTCACAGCGATTTCCTAAACTGAAGCTCACGGCAGGAGTTTATAAATTTATGTTTTCAGATTATTCCAAGAAAAGAATGCGGGCCTTAAACTAGCATTTGAGAAAGTATATCAGTTATATTACTTTGTCCTGATCATCTGCTTTTAGATGAAAACATTAGCTGTTGTCGTCTGTGTTTAAACAGGAAAAAAAAAATCTTGTTTTAACTCGCCAGGATTCTAGACACACACACACACACACACACACACACACACACAGGTACACGGCCATCGATACCAGGACGTCCGCGTGCTGTTGTTTTTACTCTGCTTTTCCTGTTTTGATGGAATCACACGATGGAACAAGTACTATGACTAACACATCCACAAAGCCGGTCTTTTAACTGCGTGGCACAGGATTAACCCTGGAATCTTAGCTTTTGAATGTGAAATTTCCACCGCACATTTTCTTACACTGCCTTTTACTTGACGACTTCTGAAGCCATCTTCCTCTCAACGGCACGCGCTACCGCACACCTACATAACGCAGCACTCAAGAGCTGGGGTTGGCACTCGCCCTCCCCGCAAGCGTGGCGTTCAGGTGCGCCCTAAACTCCCTCCTGGAGTGAAAATATGGGCCCGCGGAGCCGAAAGCCCCCGAAAGAGGGCTACTCCCTGCATCCCGCCAACTGTCGGCCCCACGCTCTCCCTCTTCCCACCTGCGCCCGCACCGGGCCCACTGCCAGCGGCTCCCGCACGTGCTCGCCTCCGCCCCCAGGGCCGTCCCCCGCAGATTCTGAGACCCGGCGACCACGGACCCGGCGCCGCCCCCACGCCTCGATCGATGGTGCTGCAGCCCAGAAAGTTTACAGGCGCCGGGACTCGCGGGGACTGCGGGGTCCGGTCGGAGCGCCGCGGCGAGGCTTTCCCTGCGCGTTCGGCCGCGAGGGAGGAGGGAAGGAGGGAGGAGGGCCCGCGAGTGGACCCGCGCGGCGGGAAAGGTACTCACTGTGAAACAAACTGCGTCCATAGATCATGTCTGTTCGTTACACCAGAGGCTCCGATCTCCACTAATTCCATTTAGAGACGGGAAGACTTCCAGCGGTGGGGGAGGACGGAGTCGGGGGGTTTTAAATGTGCAAACCAAGAACCAAATGAAGGGGGGACAGAGGGGGGAGAAAGAGAGATCCGAGCCCACACAGCAGCAAGATCCGTATCCTGGCGTCCTCCGCCCCTGGCTCGCTCTCGCTCGCTCCCTCACCGCCGCGAAGCCAGCATCCCCACCGTGACGCTCGCATCACACCCGGGCGCCGATCGCCACCATCCGCGCCGCCGGCGGCAGCACCCTCCTCCTTTGCATCACCGCCGCCGCCGCAGCTGTCAGGAGGACGCGCGGGCAGTAGGCGCGCGGGCGGCGGCGGGCGCGGGGCGAGCCCCCGGGGCGCCCGGACCGGGGCCGGGGCCGGGAGGAGGGCGCGGCGAGGCGGGGGGCCAGTCCAGACCGACGGCCGCGACGGGGCGGGCGGGCGGCGGCGGCGGCGGCGGCTGGGGCCCGCTCAGTCCCCAGTTTCATACACCACGAGCAGCAGGTCTGAGCAACCTCTCCGGGAGGGTGTCCAGCAGCAGCCCTCCTCTCTCCGGCCCTTGGGGATCTTCCGCTGAGGCATTGAAGACAGGAGGAAGGGGTCCGTCATCAGCTCGCCGGGCTCCGCGCCACCTCTGCGATCTTGCGGAAAGAGGAGCGGGTGGGTGGGCGTCTGGGAGGAGGGCGTGAGGGTGGCGGAGGGGAACGGGGGTGGCCAAGGGGGCGGGGAACGGAGGGAGGAGGAGGGAGCAGGAAGATGGCAGAGTTACCAAGTGGGCGCCTGAGTCATAGCCGTAGGCTGCACGACCCTCCAGGAAGCCCGGAGCCCGGGCGAAATTGGGCTGCGCGGCGCGGCCGGCGCCCCCGGGGCTGGTGCGCGGCGGAATGGGGCGGCGGCGGCGGCTGCAAGGACATCACACCCGCTCGGATCCTGGGGGGAGGGAAGGGGGAGGGGGTGAGGACCAGGCTGGTATCCGTCACTCGGCCAGCCCGGGCTGAGGGGGCCCGAAGGGAGCAGGCAAATCCGGAGCTGGATCCGGATGCCCGATAAAAGGCGAGCAAGGGGGAGGGGCCATCGCGTGAAATTTCCCTTTGGGGTTCAGTTTTCACTTTTTACGGGTTAGAGATTGCGGTCGAACTGTCTCCCACCCCTTATATTGCATCTGTCTAGAGGAAGCGTGTTCTCTCCCTTATCCGGGCTTGTGGGGCCGGGGGGTGGGGGTGGGGGCGGGAAGGCTTTGCCATTTACTGCGCTCTCAGGCTGGGAGACCAGGCAGGGGCGCGCGGGAGGCAAAGGCAGCGGTAAAAGTTTCGCGGTTAATCGCCTGGCCTGATGTTTAGGTCGCCCCCACCAAACTGCTTCTGCGAAGACTCCTTCATCTTCCCCAAGATATTTAAAACCCCCAAGGCAAACACAGAACACCTCTTACCCCACCTCTACACGCACAGACACGCGCGGGCGCCGCGCGTTGAACTCAGGAGGGGAGGGGAGGGAAAAAAAGAGTTGCTGGGGAAACAGCCTGGAAAAGCCCCAGCTCGTAAGATGCGAATAAATGAATAGGAAGGAACAATAAAGAGCGGGCGGCCCCGCGGAGGGCCGGAGCGCGCGGGAGTGAGGGGGAGTCCCTCCCCGGCCGCTGCAGCAGCACCTCCTCCCCTCCGGCCCCGTCCCGCCCTCCCCGGGCGCTGCGGGCTGCCGGCGCCACCACCGCCGCCGTCCGGACCTCGCCGCTACCGCGGGGCCTGCGACCCCCGGCCACCGCCTCAGTGGTCCTGGACCCCAGGCCCGCCCCCCGCTCCCGAGCGCGGCACGGAGCTCGGGTTGGGGACGATGGTGGTGATTATTCGGGGGTAGGGAGGACTCAGGAGGCAGACAGCGGAGAGGAGCGGTGTCGCGAAGCCTAGGATCACCTCCGAAGGCCGAGGAGAGAGGAGAGGGCCGTGAAAGGGGACGAGAGAGTGTCTGCGCGGGGCTGCGGCCGCCGCCGGGCTCCCAGCCCGGCTTCCACCTCGCTGCACCTGCGGCTGCGGCGCGGGGCCGCCCACGTGGGGGCGTGCGTGCGGGTGGCGGTGCTCGCGCGCTGCCCGCCTTCCCCCGGCACCGCGGCCGCCAAGGGTGGGGGGCTCCCGCCCGTCATGTGACAAGAGGGACACTGACGCAACCCCCAAGGCCGGGGTGGGGGATCCCCGAGTCCAGACACAACCTCCAAGACTCCTTCCACTGAGCTTTTGGTTCCTGGATTCCAGGTAGCTGCAAGTTCTCGACGTGGGTAAAAGTGACCAGGTAGAGGGTAGAGGGTGTGTGTGTGTGTGTGTGTGTGTGTGTGTGTGTGTGTGTGTGTGTGTGTGTGTGT